CTCATAAAAAACTCTCACTGAACAAATATTCATGTAGAGAAAACAATATACGTCACTTTCAGTTTAGAAGTATATGGCACAGAGTAAGGCATGAAATCTAAAACTTTTCAGATAATAAAGCCCAATTAAATATTCAAACCAGACTACTTCAATAGCATGAAATAGAGACTAAAATTCTCTAGACAATTTTTAATATTATTGTTGGTGTTGATTTAATTAGCCTGGTAAGTATTATTGCCACTTATACTTTTGAGGTAGCTTTTTTTTTTAAAAGATTATACCATAAAAGTGATATCACTTATGTTATATAAATGTTATAAGAATTACAGTAAATGATTTGTGCCCATAGTACCAAATTTACGAAGTGCAAAGCCATACTGCTAAAATAGCATGATTCTCAAGTTAAACTAGATTTTTGAGATGGAGACTAAATACCTGCATTAGATGATCAATGTGCCTGCCTACAAGACTATTGCTGACATTTAGACTATGCTAGAGATGTCAATCTTGATATTTTTATGTTGTGCTAATATATATTAGTACAGAGAAAAGCAGGCTTTGATATAAAGCTGCCAATTAAGACAGTATACTAAGTTTAAAATCCATAAAAATAAGGCTATTATATGCTTGAGTGAATACATAATTAATTTTTTCTTTAAATAAAGTTCTAATCAGTTCACATTCTTAGTGATAGTAATCTCATGTTGTAAACAGCACAGCACCCTCTGGTGCATCTGTTATAAGATGTATAAAATTCCAACAAAAAAAAAATCAGAGTAAAAAGGAATCTTAGAAATCAATGTTATTATTCTTTTATTTACTTCAGTACGTATTTTTAAACATTAATGCTTAAAAACAATTTTCATTTAAAAAAAGCACTAAAAACTTTATAGTAACAACTGAAGTAGATGAGGAAAATGTTTTAGTTTGAAAATATTTAAAATAATGAAGCAACAAAAACAATGCTGGTTTCCATTTATCAAAGTAAAATAATGCTTTCCAAAAAATTCTTTAAGTATACGATGGCAAAAGTTAACTTGTCATGGTAAACAAATCTTACTTTATTCAAATCTACCTTGGCTTTTTGCTTCAGATAAATTTCACTGTGTAAAGTGCCCCTGGGTACTTTTTCTGGCTTCAAAAGGAATTTACCATTACTTTTAAGAATTTTTAAGTGTTTTGTGAAAGGATCTGAAACTTTTACTGCTTGGAAATAGAATAACATTCAGAAATAAAAAATTAAGTTAAATTACAAATCTGAATTTGAATAATTCAAAACTTTTACTTTAGAAAAAACTCTTCCTAGGAAAATAATTAACTCCAAAGTGTATTTTACTAAGGACAAAGCAAAGGATGCCACCTGCTTTAGACAGCCCTTTTGTGAACCACTGGAAGTCCCAAACAATGCACTAGAAATGAAAGTGACACCTGTTTAAAGCAGCCATCTGTCCCTAACAAGCTAGATTTAGTCAAATCCACTTAATCTTGGATTTCCAAAATATGGGAACACTATGCACCTGTAAACAGAGAGGAATTTAAAATCTGCTTTTTGATGGCTACTGGGAATTTATACCATAGTTAAAGGCAAATGGTTCCATTAGGGAAATTAATTATTTTTAAAGTAACTAGGAGTAGAAGCTTTTTAGGCCAATGCTCAACATAAAAACAAAACAAAGGGGAAAAAAACCACATTCTTCATAATTTAAAAGTTTACTTCTTTAGTATTCTCATTTCTTGTAACATAGTCTCACTATAATACCAAGAACAAAGTAACTATTACTGTTTGGACAAGTTTTTGTTTTTGTTTTTAACTCTTCCCACACATCTGATGCTATATCCGCCCTTTTAATCTCAATCTCAATCAATCTCTCTCTCTCTCTCTCTCTCTCTCTCTCTCAAATTTGAAAAGCAAAAATCATACTCCACCTACTGATTTCTTCAGTTGGAGTTAGAGGAAAGCACACACAACATCAACTTTCTCCACAATAATGAAACATGTTAACAAAAAGTAACACGACATTTAAATAATACATTGAATCTATCTTGATTTATAATTCACTCATTTTTAATTGCTAATTTTTAATGGTAAAAAATTTACCATATTAACTTTAAGGTAAAAAAAACTGTTTGTTTAGGGTTAAAGTAAGTTAAACTTGTAAACTATAAACCTTTTTAGTATCAAAGTGGAGTACAAAACTATTTGAACACTGGAGGAACGATATACTATTTTTTAAATTAGGCATAATTACCCCATATAATAAAAACATTATGGAATGATGCATTTTAAGAATGCATTTTAATTTACTATATTATACATGAAAATGTACTACAAAATATGCCTATCTCAGTTAATGCAATTCACAGGCAAAACAATATAAAAAGAGTGAGATAGGCATTATGGCATAAAATGAATCAGATATTCCGCTGCTAAAGACAAGCTACAAGTGACTCCTATTTAATAGTTTTTGTTTTAAAGTGTAGTGACTCACTTTCAGAGATTTCTATTAGTCTAAAAATGAGAACACAGAAGAATACCAAAACACAATATAGTCCCTCCTAGGAAAAATATCACAGAAAGAATAAACGAAGCGCTAAGTATTTACCCTTGTGTTAAACTTAAAATTTTGTCATTTGCTAGTATTTCTAATTATTATTTTCTCAATCCATATGAATAATATTGACATATGTGAGCCCAAAGCACCTCTAACAGCAACTTTATACTATACTATGTGCTTTTAAAAATGGATAATAGAATTCAATTTAAGTTCTGCTCTCAAATCAACTTGTGAATGGAAGTTTACATCATTGAATCTGAGATAACTGTGAAATGAGTGAAATGCCTCAAATAAGTTCTTGGACACTATGAAATAAAAATATTAAACCATAACATTATAGCATATAATCTACTCAGCTGAAAACCTATTATGCAAATGTCATAAGGTCTAAAACTGTTTCAAGACAGCAAAATTCCTATTAACTTCAGAGAGAGTTTATAGGGCTCAGGAGCTTCACCATCCAAAAGTGTTCAAGCATGACACTCATCTGAACAGAAAAAAAATACAAGTTAGTATTCGAGATTTGCATGAAACTCAAGTTGGAGAGGGGATGAATAAATATAAAGGAATTTGGGTACTCTGAGAAAGACTTCTTTCAGAACAAAATATCATCCGCATTTAAAACAGTAATCACAAGGAAATGAATTGAAAGATTTTTTTTAAGTTTTTTAAAAATCCCAACTCTCATTTTACAAAGTATTAGCCTTAATAGCATTACAATTATCAACTTGCTCATTGACAATCTCAAGAATAATTAATACGATCACATTATTCACAGGTTGCTCTGTCAGGTAAATCAATATATGATTAGTTAGAAGAAGGTTATTTAAATAAGTATTTTATTCCAAATTGGAAACTTCAATATGTGCGAATATAAGTTATTTGTTTTAGCACACATTCATTATCAAAACTCATTACTGATAATCTATTAATTAAACGATAGGCTGAAAAATGAACAAACTCAGGATATGGAAAACTGGGTTCCCTCTAACCAAGAGCTCTATTACTTGAGAAGTGTTAAGTATTCAAATCTACAGAGAAAAATGGATTTTTTTAAAAAGAGACTTAAAAAAGGAGAAAGTTCTCTCTTCTTCTCTCTTCTCATCAGGTTTATGGCATTGTCCAAAAACCAAAAATAAATAATATGTTAAGTACACATATGCCTAGATTTTAACAACCATAAAGAAAGTGAAATATACACACGTTTCAAGTTGAGAAGCTTCATACATTCTTTATGAACAACTTGACTTCAATTTCAACTCTCAAAGAAAAACGAACAGAGAAGATGAAGAGAAAAAAACTCTTTAAAGTACCATAACTGTCATAAATAACAATGTAAACTGAGTTCTCACAAAGCTTCCTCACGTCCTTTCCCTGTTTATCACGCACAAAGTCTTATAACCACAATGAAAATTGTTAACACTCCACTGTGGGGGAAGGAGGTTCATGAAAGTGAAATGGAACCTCACTACTACCCCTCCCACCTCCACATGAAGGATAAAGCACTGTCAATAACTACTAACCCAAGTATCACTGATGCCCTGCATCCGGTTTAAATCACAAGCACACACAGACATCAAAAAAAAGAGGGGAAAGACTTAAAAAAAAATCTTTCCCAGCGTAGCACTCTCCAGCGAAGAGGCCCCAGGTTTCAGCGTGAGTGTGTGAGTGTGTGTGTGCGTGTGTGTGTGTGTGTGTGAGAGTGTGTAAGCGGTATAGGGGGGAGAAGAAAGGAGTGGGGGGAGAGTGCTGAATGGATATTAAGACTGCAGCACAAAGAAAACACAGTTTAAAAAGAAAAAAAGGAAACGGTGCAGCTGATGATGGTAAAGAAGAGCAGCCCATTTAGCACAAGGCAAAGAGGGGCAAAAATGAAGGGAATGGGAGATGGGAAAAGTTCACCGTTGTACGAAGATAAAAATAACAAGACCCTCAACAAGGCCCCACAAGTGAACAACAACAACAACAAAACAGCACCTCTTGGGTCCCCCCCACCCCGCACATTGTTGTCTATTTCGGTTTTGAAAGAAGCAGGAAACAAGCGGCTCTGAAAAAGAAAAAATTAAAGGAAAAAAAAAAAACCTTCCCTCTTCACCTGACTCTCCTCCTCAGACCTCGGGAGAGCTCCACCATCCGC